CCATCTTTAGGATAAAAATTAATGGTGGTGACTCTCCTATTTTTTGTTGGTTACGACAACACTGCACCATCAACCAACATGTAGATATAGCCTAAAGTATATCTTTTACTATCTTGGCATCCAAAAAAATCTAAGTAAGAGTATCCAGTGATCTCTAACTGGTCTGACCTCCTATATTTGAGCATATAATCTTCTGTTCTCTTTAAATACCTCATAACCGTTTTGGATGTTTTCCAATTATCCATTCCTAGATTGCTCAAACATCTGCCTAACACCCCAACTATGACGTGTAAGGAATCTTTTTCATTTTTTTAATTTCTAAGTTTACTTTTAGGCATTGACCAAGACTAAATATTTTCCCTTAGCAATTAGAGTATCCTCTTGTTTATACTCCTGCATGCCAAACTTTTTAAGTATCTTTTTGATATAGCTCTTTTGTGATAATCTTATAATACCTTGAGACCAGTCTCGGTGTATAAGAGTTCCTAATACAAAGGAGACATCACCAAGATCTTTCATTTCAAATTTTCTTGATAGGAATTTCTTGATTTCGTGCATCAAGCATATATCGTTGGTGGCAAGCAGTATGTCATCAACATATATGATCAAGAACATGTACTTTCTCCCATTGAACTTGTGATATAGACAATCTTCAAGAAAATTCACCTCAAAATCAAATGAGAGAAATACTTCATGAAACTTGTGGTACCACTGACGAGACGCATATTTTAGTCCATAAATGTATTTTATTAATTTTTTAGACCATATTCTTTAAGTCTCCCTACACAAAGTTTTCTAGTTGCATCATATAGACTATTTCATCAATGTTTCCATTGAGGAGTGTCGTTTTTACATCCATTTGATGGAGTTCCAAATCATAATATGCAACAAGTGCCATGATTGCCCTAAAAGAGTCTTTGGATGAAACTAAAGAGAAAGTCTCTTTAAAGTTAATCTCTTCCTTTTGAGTATAACCATTGGCTCCTAGACGAGCCTTATACCTCTCCGCATTACCATTAGAATCCATCTTGGTCTTAAAAATACATTTGCAACCAATGGGTTTCACACCTTCTTGTAACATGATAAGTTCTCAAACCTTATTTTCTTGCATGGACTTATACTTCTCTTTCTTTGCTTCAATCCATTTTCCTGAATTTAAATCCTACATGGTTTGGCGGAAGTTGATTGGATCAGCTTCCATCGTACTATTATTTTCTACATGTTCTTGGAGAAATACTATGTAATCATCTGTAACGGAATTTCTCCTTTCTCTAGTGGATATCTGCAAAGGTATTCGTTCTTGTAACCCTTGTTCTTGAGGATCTTGAATTTGTTCTTCATGAATTACCAATCATCTTGAGCAAGAGAAAATTCAACAATGTCTTGTGGAGTTTTCATACTTGCTTGATCAAAAGCAACTGTATGATTCGGTTATGGAATTGTTACTGATTCTTCCTCTAAAACAAAGTCTTTAACCTTATTCTTCCCTCAAACTCAATATCATCAAAGAATGTGGTTGTTCTTGTCTCAAAATTTGAGTTTAATTTGAGATTGTAAAATTTGTAGCCCTATATCTTTTATAATAAGAAATAAAGTAGTTGCTCACTATTCAAGAGTCCAATTTCTTTTCATTTGGCCTATAAGGCCCTGTCTCAGTTGAATATCCTCATACGTGAAAAAATTTCAGACTAGGTTTTCGTCCAGTCCAAAGCTCATAAGGTATTTTGGCAGCTACCTTTATTGATACTCTATTTAGAATGTAAGTTGCAGTCTTTAGTGTCTCTCCCAATAGTGACTCTGGAAAGCAGAATGACAAATTATACTCCTTGCCATATCTTTAAGAGTCCGATTTCATCTTTCATCCATACCATTCATGCTAGGTGACCCTGACATGGTGTATTGTGGCATGATTCCACATTCCTCTAGGTATTTGGCAAAAGGCCCTGAACATTGTTCACCTGAACCGTCATATCTGCAGTAATATTCTCTACCATTGTCAGATTTGAGTTTCTTGATTCTTTTGTTGATTTGATTCTCAACTTCAGTCTTAAATAATTTAAACACATCCATCGATTGAGACTTTCATGTATAAGAAATATGTATGCATATCTAGAATAATCGTCTATGAATGATATAAAGTATTTTTTATTATTCCAAGAATGTGTGAGAAATACCCCATAAATATCTGTATGTATGAATTCTAAGACATTTGCAGTTCTTTATGTATCAAATTTCTTGTTTTGATTTGTTTGCCTTTAACGCGTTCAACACAAATATCAAAGTTTGATAAGTCAATGAAATCTAAAATTCTATTAGACACTAATAAAAAAGTAATAAGACTAAAGTGCAACATCATTAATTAAAAAAAGGGAAATGCTAACACAGCCCCACCTTTGTTAAAAGTCTAATGTCAAAAAAAAAAGTCAAGCATTGACAAATTTAAAGTTTTTTTTTTACCTTTTTCCCCATTTCCCACTCTATGCATGTCCTTAGTTTCAGCAAAAAATAAGTGTAAGACTATGTATAATGGGGGCGTTGAAAAAATTATTCAATAGTTGAATAGGTGTAATTGAGTGTTGAATAAAGGGTTGAAAGTGAGGTGGATTAATTGGTGTTGAAAATATTCAATATGTTGAATGAGGAGAGAGTGTGACCACATATAATATTTTGCAAAATCTTATTGGTTGTTGTGATTGTTTAGATTTTTAATTCACCTTAATCATTTGGAATCAGTTATTTTACAATAAATCAATTTTTTATTTATTTTTATTTTCATCAAAATTCATCATTTTTTTCATAAATAGAGATTTGGTTCATTTGATTTAGACACACAAAAAAATCCGCTTTTTTTCTTTATTTTTTCTATTTAACCTCTAATAAACTCTTGTTTTATCCACTTTTATTTGTTTTAATAATGACTATTCCTATAAAATTAGAAGAAAAAAATTTAAATAAATTAAGAATATAAAATTAGAAAAAAAAATTTAAATAAATTATTGAATTAGAGAAAAAATTAAAATAAACTATTTAACTCTTAATTATTTTAATTTTATTTCAATCGATAATTGATATTAATATAATAAAATCATAAAAACAAAAATATAAAAGCAAATAAAAATATGAAATAAAAATGGTGGAATAGGTATTGATTTTATTAATCAAAATTATTATAGTTTCTGGGCATGTCCTTAGTTCAGCAAAAACAAGTGTATGCAAAAAAGCTATAAAAGGATATGGATATCCCATTCAAACGAGTGTATTTTAAATGAGTGTTTATGGAAAGCAATTATTAAAACATGTTGAATTTTATAAAATAATTTATATTTTTTTTGAAAATGATCTATATTAAAAGCCAAAGAAAATGTTGAAAATTGTTTTATATAATTAAAACAGAGAGTACATTCTAAGGCACGCTGTAATGATTTTCAAAATACACCTCACCAGTCCTCACTTCTACATGTCCATATTGGTCTGCAAATCAGTAAACTGAATCATCATATATCTACAGAAAAACTTTGAATATAAATTTCATTTTTTCAAAAATATTTATTGAAAAACTTTATTGTAAATTTTATGGTTTGTTTGTATATTTAAGAGTAAGTCTTTTCGAGCTGGAAAATTTGGAATATTGAGAAACGTAGTACATCAGAAAGAATATAATTATTCTGTTGAACAGTATGACATTACAGAATTTTTCATAAATATACTATTTTTTTTCTAATTTAAATACTAAATTATCATTTTTTCCTTAGTAAATATCAAAATATCATCTTTTTAAATAAAAAATAATATTTTAAAGTACATCCGTCAATTGATTGGACAGACTCTCATATTTTATATATATTTTTATTATATTTTATTTTTTTATAGATTTTTTTAGAAAAATTGAGTTCTTTGATATTTCCTGTAGATTTTGTTACAAAATTTCCTGCGAATTTAACAACGAAATTTAATAAAATTATATATAAAAAATTAAATATAAAGAATCATATATTTAGAAAATTCGGAGGTAATTTCATAAGAATGTTATTTATTAAGAAATTTCACAAATAAAATCTGCAGGAGTATCAGTCGGTATTAAACAAATAATTAAAAAAAATTGCACATCTACCAAATAAATAGGCGAAACTTTTTCATTTTATATTCTTTCGTCTATTGAATGAGCGGAGCCTTTTTACTAATAACAATTTTTTTTGAAACTATGATATATTAGTATATATTGATGAATTGAGTGTTAGTTTAATATATTTTTTCAAAAAGGATGGTAGGACAGCAAAAATTTGACATTACATATTACTCATAGATTTTGAAAATCAAAATAAAATATATTTTTTGAAAAATAACATACTGAAAAGTTTTAAATCAACTTATTTACCAATTGTTCATGCTCTGTAATTTTTATTTTACTTAACTAATAAGTAAATTTTAATTTTAATCAAGAATTTGCCTAAACTAATTTCGGTTGATAATAAACTTTATCTAGGGGGGTACGTAGAGCTAGTAATTTGGACCAAATTACTTTATACACTAAATTATGAAAGTTGGCCTGGACAGACACAAGCCTAAAGTTAGTAAGATGATAATGGTCATTCCATCACAAAGGCTTCCATGTTCTCGAGTAGTTGTCAAGAGTACGATTGTTTCACAATTATATTGCTGACATTATACTAAATGAAATGATTCCTTTACTATTAAAAATTTTTTTATCAATATATTTAAAAGATCATAATTTAGTGGCTGAAATTCACTTTTAAATTCATATTCTTATATCTAATGTTGTTACGCAATTAATTCTGAGTTGAACATAGCTCTCTTGAGTGAGTGTTTTTTAAGATATTAGTTAAACATAACTCTCTCAGTGCGTGTTCGAAATCACAATATTATCTATGTCACTATCTTTCCGTGCATGCTCCATTAACATTTTGATAACTATTACTTCTTTTCCATTTGTAACTTTCTTCATTTCCATTAGAAAAAGATAGTGGATCGCTATTGCTCGCATGGCTTCAGTTGTACCCATTCTCCATAGTCTCCTCAACCAAAACTCAAACCTCCCATCTCTCTCCCATTCTCAACCTCTTTTCTCAAGATCCACCAACCACAAATCCAAATTCCTCAATCTCTCAAGAAAACCTAATAATCCACCAATATTGCTTCTCAAATGCTCTTCTTCCTCTTCCATGCTAAATAAACTAGAAGAAAAAGAAGAAGATGGAGAAGAAGACGACATCAGAGAAGGAGAATTATCACCACCACCACCACCACCACCACCACCTCCTCCGTTGAGCGATGTATGGGAAGAAATCCAAGGTAAGAACAACTGGGAAGGTTTGATAGATCCAATGGATCCTATCCTACGGAAAGAAATCATTCGCTACGGTGAGTTTGCTCAAGCATGCTACGATTCCTTCGACTTTGATCCACACTCAAAGTACTGTGGAACCTGCAAGTATCATCCTTCGCATTTCTTCGATAAACTAGACATGGCTGAGAGTAGTGGATACACCATAACACGGTATCTTTATGCAACTTCAAACATCAATCTTCCTAACTTTTTTCAGAAATCTAAGATCTCTTCTGTGTGGAGTACACATGCTAACTGGATGGGATACATCGCTGTTGCCACCGATGAACAAGAAATCAAACGGTTAGGACGCCGTGACATAGGTACTCAATACTCTTACACCCTTTTTCTCACTGATTATGATTTTCAAGTTTCATAGGTTTTTCAAATTTTACAAACACAAAGACAACACTGCAATTTATTTTCTATTTTTTAATATATTTTTTTTCTTAAAATGTCTTTATAGAGTCCAACTAAATTTATTTTTTTTATATCAAATGGTTTTTTACTTTTTATTAATCGGTAGATAAGTAGATGAAAATTTGAAAAATAAATAAATAATTATTTCATAATTAAATAAAGTATTTTAAATTCACAAATAGGTAGATAAATAAAAGTCTATCTCACAAGCAAGAAAATTCTTAAATAAACAAACATAAAAAATAGTTTTACACACAATCAATCACAAATTTTTAACTAATTAAAAAATAAATATAATATTTTTCTCTTTTTGTAATTACAACTACTTCATAAATATAATTAAAAAATAATTAAAATTTAAATAAGTTTAAAATTTTCTTTTTATTAAATATTTCTGTAAATACATATTTAAGTGTCTTTTCATACAAGAATTTCTCCTAACAACACACAGTTTTTAAGCTTTATTAACTTTAAAAAAAGTAAAGTGGTTTGAGAATGTGATTCTTTATTTTATTTTTTAAATTTTTTTTCTGTGTATAAGATTCTTTTTGTTTGAGTTTGACAGGAGTGTACTGTAAGATTCATTTACTTTTTTAAGTTGGAAACTGTATCAAAAGTGAACTTTAGAAACAACTTTTTCAGGAATTGCTTTTTAAGAAATAAACTTTTATAAAAAGTGTTTGTGTAAGATTTTGTTGGGGACAATTTTGTTTTCCTTCATTACAACTTAAAGGAATTGAAATCCGCACAATGTTGATAAAGTTCTTTACTTAGCAAAAGTTTTCTAGAATACAATTTTGTATTCCCAAGTAACAAACACAAGTATTTTATTTCTAACTTTGGATTTCTAAGAAAATATTTAGTATCCATAAAATAAAACAAACGCTTTCTAAAATATGTAAGAGAGAAAAAAAAGAAGATAATTTAAATTCCTGTGAAAAGTAAATTCTTTTTATAAATAAAATGAGAGGGAGAGTATAATAAAAGGAGAGAAACATATAGAAAAATTGAAGAGGTGATTGAGTTTCTAAGCAAAGGTAGTATTTTTGTGTGTAGTTATTGCATGGAGGGGCACAGTGACATACATAGAATGGATATACGACCTAAAAGACATTCTCCACGAAGCAAACTTCAGAAACGACCCATCAATCAAAGTAGAATTAGGCTTCTATGACTTATACACTAAGAAAGAAGATTCATGCAGTTATTGCACATTCTCAGCTCGAGAACAAGTCCTCTCAGAAATAAAACGCCTTGTACAATACTACGAAGAAGAAAAACTCAGCATCACAATCACAGGACACAGTCTCGGTGCTGCATTAGCCATACTCAGCGCCTACGACATCGCTGAACTAAAACTAAACGTCGTAGAAGACAATGTCGTCCCTGTAACCGTTTACTCGTTCGCAGGCCCTAGGGTTGGGAATTTGAAGTTTAAAGAAAGGTGTGATGAACTCGGTGTTAAGGTTTTAAGAATATTAAACGTGCATGACAAGGTTCCAACAGTTCCAGGGATAATAACTAATGAGAAGTTTCAGTTTCAAAAGTATATAGAAGATGCTTTGTCTTTTCCTTGGAGTTATGCACATGTTGGAACTGAGATTGCTTTGGATCATAGAGAAAGTCCTTTTTTGAAGGAAAATGGTGATCTAGGTTGTGCACATAATTTAGAGGTACTTTTGCATTTAATAGATGGGTATCATGGGAAGAAGAAAAAATTTGAGCTGGTTTCAAAAAGAGATATTGCACTAGTGAATAAGAGCTGTGATTTTCTACTCAGTGAGTATGGTGTACCACCTCATTGGAGGCAAGATGAAAATAAAGGGATGGTGAGAAGTGGTGATGGACGTTGGGTTTTGCCTGAACGGCCTCAATTGGAAGCTCATCCACCAGACACTGAACATCTTCTTAAGTTAGTGCTTAATTATCATATTCACGTTAATGCTAAGTTTCAATCATCATGAACCATATGATTTTGGTTTTTAGTAGAAAAAAATGAAAGGATGGAAATAATACATATATTTTTATATATGAATAATATATAAGATGTGATGTTGATTAATTGATAAGAAATATATAAGATGACAAATGAATGTATGTATATTTTGTTTAAGGTTGTTCTGTTTAGATATGAAATAATTGTGATAAAAGTTACAAGAATCCAAACATACCTACAAAGGTTGGAGATGATAAGATAAAACAACGAAAGATAATAGTTTGCTCCAAATAATGGGTCTCCACAAGTGTTGCAATCCGTCCAGCTCTAAAGGATATATTGACATTTTATATTTAAAAAGAAATGTGATGTACCTATTACTTGCAAGTTTGAGTTTGAATTCTCTTCTTTATCATTCTCTTTCTAACTTTTTATATTTATGTTTTAATTTTATTAGAATTTAGAATCAAGCTATCGGGGAGGTTTAAATGTGGAGAGTGGGAGAGATACATAAAATTAAAGAGAGATAATTGAGAAGGAAAATAAATTTTCATTAACATAGATAAAGATACTTCTAAGATATTTATACATTAATTATAAGTGGATTGAGACATAAGCAATCAAATCAAAATATTAGAAAACAGAAAATCTTATACTTGTAATCGATTACACATCTATTACAAAATTAAATGCAATATAGTGGTAATTGGTTACGATAACCGATTACATCCAGATGAATTTTTATTTTTCAGCCCATAAATGAATTTTGTCCAGCTGTAACCGGTTATCACCATGGTAATTAGTTACAACGCTTGAATTATCAATTTTCATTTAACACACCATCTTAATTCAAGTGCTTCTAGTCTTCTACGCTCATGTTCATCTTCAACCTTTTGAACAATTTAATTGTGACTCCCTTAGTTGACAAATCAGCCACTTGGTCTTCACTTCTACAATATCTTAATCTCAATCTTCCTTCAATAACAAACTCTATCGAGTAGTGAAACCTCATCTCAATATACTTGTTCCTCCCATGTGAAATTGAATTCTTAGCAAGATTAATAGCACAAACGTTATCAACCATGAGCGTTATTGTGTCACCCTCATCGCTGCCCAGCTTCTTCAATAGATTCATTAACCACATGGCTTGACCTCACAAGACGAGCCTTATGGTTTCAATTCTGGCAACTAGTGCAAATACCTCTTCAAAGTCTATGTCTTCTCTTTGAAAAAAATCCCTTTGCAATTAATCGAGCCTTATGCTTGAATTTCACCCTTAGGATTAGCCTTAACCTTATAGACCCATCTTACACCAATCGAGTTCTTTCCATCTGGTAGATCAACTAACTCCCAAGTATTTTTTTTCTCAATCGATTCTAGCTCCTTTTTCATTGCACAAATCCATTTTGGATCACTTAAGGCCTTTTTCTTTTTAACGAGTTCAGATTCGGCCATAAGTGCAAAATAGACGAAATCACTATCATAATTGACTTTGTTGTCTCAGAACATTTCACAATCTTGGAGTCTTTGAGGCAAACCTCTTTGCCTTGTTGATCTTCTCACATTCTCTTCAATTCGGGCTTCGACGGAGGTTTGTTCTACACTCTCAAACCTCTTTTCCTTGTTGAAGGTTCTATTGGAAGCCATATGAGCTTTCAGGACCAAAACCCCATTTGCATCCATAACGCCTAGCCCTTTATTTTCCATGTGAATTTTATAATCCTTCTCAAGAAATTGGCCAATACTTATAAGGTTACACTTGATTCATGGAATATACAATACATCTTTGATCAAGGAATATCCGCCATCCCTTCTCATTATCAAAATATCACTGATCTCATTGGCTGCTAGAGTGGTGTCATCTACGAACTTCACTTTGGCTTGACTACTTTTGGTAAACCAATCATTCCTCTCTGTCATATGCGAAGGATAACCGAAACCTAAATACCATTCATCTCTTCATTAGAATCATTCTCTCACAGTCACCATAACATTTTCTTATTCCTGTAACTATTTATAACTTTTACGTAACTGGTTACAACATGTTTTTGCAGCATTTACGGAACAATTTTTATTGTTGTCCCATAACATGTTGCTGTTGTATTCCCCTTCTATGATCATTACTAAGAATGTGTTCTCTTCATCAAACTCTTATATTTCAACCCTGGCTTCATCTACTTGAGGTTCCTTCTTGTTCAAGTTGAACATTTTGCAAAATGCTTAAACTTTTGACAATTAAAGTATTGCGCCTTGCTCTTGCAAAAAATTTCCCTTTCACATCTAAAATTTATTTGACCATAATTCTTGTTGCAACTTCTCTCATCCTTTTGACAAGCCGAAATTCTTTGAACTTTGAGACTCTCTTCCACCAAAATTTTGAATTCCCTTTACTCTTAATGGGCCACTTTCCTTTCGACTTCTTGTTCTTCTCATTGAACCGAGCTTGCAAAGTGATCTTCGATTTTGCATTATTGATATTTCTCTCCTCCATCCTTTTATCATGATCTTCAAGAGATCTTTGAAACTCCTCTTTGATCATCATCACAAGATCCTTCGATTCCTCAATCTCCACACTACAACAAGTAATGCTTTTCATGACGAAGCTTTCATAACGTACAAAACAAAATCGCGGGTACATGTGAACGAAGCGCATTGTTTTATTTTAAAAAATAATAATAAATTTGTTACCTCAGATATTTAAAACCAATATAAATATATGCTCAGGATTTGAGGTTCAATTCTCAGCTCCTGCTATTTAATGTTTTATATGGAACCAAAAAGGCGCCTTTATTTTTTAAAGATTTTACGTCAGATATGTTACCTCGGTTTTCAATAAATCTGAGATAAAAACTCCCTAATTTTTTATTTTTTATTTTGCAACTAAAAAGAGACCTTTATTTTGTATAGGTTTTACGTCGAATATGTTACCTCGGTTTAAAGTAAAACTAAGATAAATACACTTTATAATTTTTATTCCCTCGGTGTCCCTTTCATTTTCTTTTTGAGCCCTAGAGAAAGAACACTTCTTCTGCAAGGAGCCATAGCGAACGAAAAAACTCTCTCACCATTGTTCTCTGGTATGTTATTAATGTTGTTCTCCATTAATATTGTTCTTGTTGTTGTTGTTGTTATTCTCCATTGTTGTTGTTGTGAATCATTATTATGAATTATTTTGTTTTAGTTTTATTCAAATTTTGTAGCATATAACCACAAAGTGTACATCATACTAAGAGTTAAGCTGAATAAAACTTTCATTAGATAAAACTTTTATACTAGTAATCATATCTAATTCCTCTGGCTGAGAGATAGTTTGACCAAGTATAATCTACTTCATCCTTATCGTTAGAATCAATGATGACTGGCATTTTCACCTTTCTTCTTCTCCTTCTTGATCTCCTCTTCCTAGGACCTCCTATGAGTCTCAAAAGTTCAGTTTCACAAGAGCGGCTTCTTTCCACTTCTTTATTTGGAGTAGGGTTTTTACACATGAGCAGCCTCTACAACCACAATAGCATTGTTGAAAGCTTCAGCAGAAGTACTAATTTTGATTCTTCTTATTCTCTAATTTCTTTGGATGAATTTCTTTTGTTGTTTTGGTTCAAAGAGGAATTTCGCATTTATATTGTTTCTTCTAATTCTTCGCCTTCTCAGGTCCTTGAAAGTCTAAAAGCCAAAATATTTCACGCATGTCAAGTTTGCTCATTATTGGATCTTTAATTCTATATGTTTTCTTCTCTTGGAAGTTGGAAACATCTATATGTTTTCCAATTTATTTTTTACTTTTTCAATATCCCTTCTTACGCATAGTTTGATGTAATAATGTGTACTATTTTTATTTTATTTTTAGAAGCTTTATCTGATTATGGATCGTAGTTGGATGAAAGCCAATAGATTAAATAGCAAGTATGAGAATTGATTGTTATAATTTCTTAATTTCGCAGAAAAATCTTCCTGACAATAATGAGATTTTTTGATGTCCTTGTATGAAATGCTATAATACGAAAAAAAATCCAAGTGATGTTATATTTAATCATTGTAGTTGTGATCGAATTATTCAAAATTACGCGAAATGGGTATGACATGGTGAAGGGACAAAAAAGAGAATTTTTTCACAAACATTTGAAGATGATGAATGTATGAATGATGATCTAGAAGACATCATTCCTGATATTGGATTAGATGCTTTTAAGAAAGCTAGTATGGTAGATACTTTGTGAAGAGACATGGAAGATTTGTTTTATCATGGATGTAACGGTTTTACAATATTGTCAATTGTGTTAAGACTATTTAATCTTAAGTCAAAAGGTGGGTGGACGGATAAAAGTTTCATTGAATTGTTTGAATTGTTGAAAGAAATGCTTCCTGAAGATAACACATGCCAAATCATACTTATGAGGCCAAAAAGATATTGTGTCTAATGGGTTTGGACTATGTCAAAATACATGCTTATTGTAATGATTTCATCTTATATAGGAAAGAGTTTGAAAACTTGAACGAGTACCCGAGGTGTGGGGTGTCACGCTAAAAACAGAAGGACAATGGTGTTGATGACGATGATGGTGCAACTAGCAAGGGTATTCCTGTCAAGGTGATATGGTACCTACCGATAAATTTCAAGGTTCAAGAGATTGTTTGCTAATGTTAGTGACGCAAAGAATACTAGATGGCATACAAATCAAATAGTGTATGATGGAAAAATTTGTCATGTAGTTGATTCATTGTAATGGAAGAAAATTGATTCATTGTTTCCAAAATTTGCCCTTCAACCGAGGAAGCTTAGGTTTGGAATTTCCACCGATGGAATGAACATTTTTGGTAATTTGAGTACTAACCATACGTCATGGCATGTTCTTTTCTTAATTTATAACCTAGCTCCATGGTTGTGCATGAAACGCAAGTATATGATGCTATCGATAATGATTTTGGGTCCAAAACAACCAGGGAACGACATAAATGTTTATTTATCACCATTGATTGAAGATTTAAGAATTTTGTGGCAAGAAGGTGTTGATGTTGATGCGTATACAG